ATTGCTGCATTGGTTTAACCCTGTCTTAGCAACAAAAACGATGTAAATAAATGCAATTAAATGGAAATAAATGTTTGTACATATGTACAATATTTGCTTCATTAGTTATAACTAATATAAATTACAAACAAATTGATAGAAAAAATTGAATGCAAATCTATCAGTTTTTATTATTTACCAGTAGAATACAATTTTATTGATTCATTTTTTTACTGAATAAAATATATATATTTGCCTACATAATGGGTGTATAAATACAGTGCGTTCTCTCGCAATAAACTTTGCTGGCGAGTGTGGAACTTGTTTAATATTTAGTGGCGTGTATTTTTGCAGTCGCAATTGGCTTTGAACTGTAAATAATTGCAGGATAATTATTTTTAATTTGCCACAAATTGCGGTGTCCCTCCTTCGTCCATGTTCCTTTCTAAATTATCATCTGTACAAATAGTCATAGTTCATATTTATATTGTTTTTGGTTGGAGAGACAACATGACAAGCGATGCATAATCTGGACATTTTGTGTTGACATGCGCTCGTCCTTGAACTGGTTTAAGCAGAAACACAAATATAAAATGGACGACTGCGAAAAATCGTATTCAGCCTGGCCACTTCTTTGTGCCAGGCCATGCAAATGCATGCCGCCATAATGAAAATGCAGTCGTGCATAACGACGACAAGAAGCAAACAAAAGGACGAAAAAGGCAACTTCTGTGCGCAATTCGTGCAAGGCGTGTGTGCGTATGTATGTCGCATGTTGCCGACCTGTAGGCTGCACAACAATGTAGGCTTACACGCACACCAACTGTCTTAAAGCATTTTTAACCCAGAAAAGGGTAAACGCTTGAGCTACTCAAGTGCACCTGGACAAAAGATGTCGTGCATTGGTTTTTGTAGTTTTTCCTTTCTGCATAATTATCTTTGTAGGCGTGCTGTTGTTATTGTTGTTTCAGTGAAGCAGGCAAGTACTCTGTCAAGCTCAAACCCCGACCAACTTCGTAAGTCATATGCATAGGTGTATGAACATACGTATAAAAACTATGTTCATTGCGGTTTTAGAGATTAAAAACTGAACTAAACTCACTTCACGCATTCAGAACTTATATAGCAACATTTTACTTTCCTAGCTACATGCAATCGGAAGAACTGTTCGGCTGATCAACAAAACTACAACTTTGTGAACTCTGATACTTCTTCTTTTGGGTTTTGTTGGTGAAATTTGTGGGAATGGCTTTAAATATATGTATCTAAATCAACGATTCCTCGCATATTAATCAAATAATTTTGTCTTACTTTGTTGTGTGCAACTGATAACCCACAAGTCTTGAAAAGCCAAAAACGTAAAAGGTCCTTTTAAGAAGTCAATTGTGAAGAGAATATTGATAGAAAATATTATTATTAATCAGCAATTCGTTCCACCTAGCCAAATTTAATTTATCCAAATACATGTATTAATTCCTTGCCCTTTTATTTTTGTCCGCTTTACTTTAGAACGCACATTGAAATTAAGCAAATAAGGAAGGGAATAGCATTTATTTGCGTTTTAAACTGTTGCCGTATCAGTACTTTAAAAAACACAATCTACCATTAAACTTCATTTTATATTGTAAATTGCATCTTTTCGCTTTGTGGTTTACTGACTAGTCTGCTTGTTTAACGTACCGAAAATACCTATGCATATGTATACATATGTACGAATATGTAAAGAAGTTCAAAGCGTAGGCCGACGGCTATGGTAAATCTGAAGAGAGTTGAGGTAGAAGCCTAGTCGGGCTGCAAAATGTGCCCCAAGTGCTAATTTGCATTTGCTCGGAGTTGAACTAAAGCTGAAGTTGTTTTCCACAGCCACAGGGTGCTTGTGTGTCCTGCTGCTCCTGCTACTGCTACTGCTGTTGCTGTTGCTATTGTTGCCTCTATGAATTTTCCATGGTTTAATTAGCAACACGCCAGTGCTCACACGCACTCCAGGGCAATGTAATTAAATATATATATATATATATAAAAAGTAGAAACCGAAAAAACAAAAAAGAGGAAGTAGAATAGCATGCATTTAATTGGTGGCTTTGCTTAAGCTTAAAGTCGAGGACACTTTTCAGTTTACGATAAAAATGATGTATGTGCAACTCTTTGGCTGCCTGCGGCATACTAGACATACTCACACACACACGCACACACACAGATGTACACTCAGTCAAATGGAGGGCATAAATGTACATGTAGTGAAAGACAAGAAAAAGCAATAAAGTTTTGCATAACTGACGAAATAAATGACAGCGAAGAAAACCAACATTGACAAATACGCAGGGAGAAAATGGGGGGACGAGAATGTATAAAGATTGGGGTTTGCTTGGTGGGTTAAATGTGTTGTGCACTGAGCTCTTGGGGAGCACTTGGGCGCTGTAGGGCGGGGCATTGAGAAAATTCCATATAAAAGCTGCTCTGGCTTTGCTTGCTACTCTTTGTTATTGTTGTTGTTTCTGCCGTTTTTTTATTATTTGTATTCCCCGTTGTTGTTGTAGTTGTTGTTGTTGTTGTATTTGCCGCTTGTTTATTGACTTTATGCGGGGGTGTCGTATAATTTGTTTCTACTTTAACCCACCCCTAGCGCTCGCCGCCTCTTGCTGTTAAGTTGGGAAAATGTGCGCCCCAATAGGGCAACACAAAAAGCTAAGCATTGCTGCTGTTATTGTTGTTGATGTTGTTGTTACTGCTGCTCTTGGGGTTTTGTTTTTCCCTCGAAATCCAAACAAGTTTTCCATTATTTTCCAACTGTTATGCAAAATATGGCAGCAAATGTTAGGCGTTCAATAACCAAAATAGATTGAGACGTGGCTAAAAAATGTACCGAATAGCCAACAAAAACAAAAACCAAAGAAGCAACCACAGCTTTGACTGTTTTTATAGCCAATAACAAACATATTGGAAAAACATTTGCAATCGCACACATTAACTACTTATTTAAGAGGAGGAAGGCGGAGGTCGGGGCACGCTACACTACTGCACTTGAACTTGCCACAAAACCGCAGAGACGACACCGTCGGAGACGATGACAGTGGCGACGATATCGGCAATAAAACACATTATATAATGTGTAGACTATAAAAGCGAAATTGAGAAACACTAAAAAAAAATTCAACGGGGAAACAAAATGCATACTTGGCCTGCTCAGCTGAAGGGGTTCAGTGCAAAAAATATGCAAACAAAATAAAATAAACTAGGCTTAGATTACAGCAGTCTTGTTATGAGATAAAACTTTTTTAAGGAGAAATTGTTCCTAAATTGTAAATTCGTAATTCGAACTTAATTGTTTTTTAGAATTAAAATAAACAAGCGTATGAGTTTTAAAAGAAAGAGAGACTTGTTTTAAATGAAATTATTATTAATTACAAGAAATTATTAACTTTAACAAACATATACATATACATATGTACGTATACATATGTAGTACACATACATGTATACTAGATAGATTATTTCAAATTCATTGAAGAAAATTGAAGATATTGACGTTGCTCAGATACAATGGGTCGATACTATTATGTTCCATCTCAAAATACAATTTTTATTTTAATAATATTTTAAATTGTACATTACACGTTTTATAATATTCCTTGTACATACATTCCACAATAAATAGATTGAAGAGCTTTATGTTGCAATATATGTATGTATGTATTTATAAACTGTTTAATGAAGCATTTTTGATTAATGTACAAAACTTGAAGTTTATTTCCTTATTTTTCTCGGTGTAGAAATAAAACAAATGTAATGACCTTGGACGGCCAGCGCCAACGGAATATACAAAGCAACAACAACAGCCGCAACGGCAAAACCAAGAACAACATACGAATTTAAAAATAATTTCTCAAAGAGCAGCTAAGAAGAAGAAGAAACAGATGAAAAAGACGCTGACGTTGACGTTGATGGTCACGCGTCGGCGTTGGCGGACGGTGCAACGTCGACATGGGCTCATCAAAATTATGCAAACTGTAACGCATGTACGACGCTCTTGACTTCCAACTGTCACTTCCTATATACTCCCACCCTCACCCAGCAACCTCCCTTCCGCCGTCACACTTCCTCCTCGACTATTTTTTCTACATTTATGCAAATATATATGGAAGTATGCAGATGGCACATGTGCGGTGTTTTGTATATTTTTTCAATCATCCCCTCACTCCTATTGACGATTTGGCACTGACCGCGCGCCAATTTATGCACAATTTAAGTTTTGGGCCAACAGAAGCAGCAACTAAAGGAATGAGGCCAATAGCACAATTATTAAATATGTTGTGCGTTCCTTTTTATGGGTGTGTTAATGGTTGCGCTGCCGCCTCTTTCGGCAGGCAACACAAACTGCTCCCAAGGGGCCATTTTCGCCATTTCAAGGCGTCCAATCGTGCGTACCTGCAACACACGCACGCATACTCATGTATATTTAGTTGTGTTGCAAAAAAAAAAAAAAAGAAGTAAAATCCAATCGATTTTCATTACCCTGGCCCGATTAATGGAAAACGTGCGTGTGATGTTCATCTTAAGAGTAAAAAATTCGCTTACGATAACAAAAACACAAGTACGACGACACAGCGGCTTCTTTAGCGCAAATTACTTAAAATTCCAACGTGCCCAAATGACTAAACAAATTGAAAAACAACAACAAGAGCGAATAAAATAGATAAACATAACAACAAAAGCAAAAAAATGCAAGACTAGCTAAAAGTACTGATATAATTACACGTTAAGCTCCATTTGTGAAATATTCAATGTGTGATAGGCCCTGCCCGTACTTTTAATGCCGCCCCGAAGACGACGATGGTCGCAAGCGGCAACAGCAACAAAAACAATATAGATGATGCGCCTGCTAACGTATTGTAGACATTTGAGGGCTGGCTCACAGGCTGAATGTCTGTGCTGTGCTGTGCAGTCAAGCTAACCAAGTAGCCAGTCCTACTCTCCCACATACGGCCGCAACAAACACATTGTAACGAAATTCCGCAACTCACCTGCGCTGCTGCTGGTGCTTTTCACTCCTGCTGCCTTTAATACTGCTGCTGCCCTGGGCTTGACGTTTGCCGCAATAGCCAATCTAATTATCGTTTTGCAGCAATTTGAGAACGATGCGAACTTTTTACTCGTATGCACTTGGGTTTTCCTTTTTGTATGGCGTATTTGTAATTGTTGAGGCTTGATTTTCTTTTTCCTTCTTCACTGGCTTTTACACACACACACACTGGCGCGCACATGCAGGCGCCACATAACCGAAAATTCCGTTAGCAACAACAACAGCTTTGCACAACGACTTCCGAGCGTAGACTAGTCGCTGCTTTTCAGGAATAGGAAGCCCCAACGTCGTGACCGTCGTCGCTTTCGCTGTCTAGCTTTGGGCAGCAGTTCTATGTTTAACGAAGAGCGCGCACGCGCCTTGTACATGGCAATTCTTATCACTGAAACGACTGCCAAACTGACGGAATTTACGCGCTCCGACCATTTTCGTAGAGCATGTATTGATTTTTTGACGCTCACTTGTGGATGGAACGTGAATGAATTTATGTACAAGAATGCAATCTATTGACAGAGAAGAAATGCGGGTTTTATATTAGTTCTATGTGAGCTTGATGGGGGTTTACTTAAACCTATGTTGCTTTCAGTCAGAAAATTCACTAATTTCGTAAAAATAAGCTGTTTATTTATGTTTTCTTTTAACAGCTTTTTGTCTGCGCTTATAACGCTCGCGAGGGCTACAGCACTAGCAATAAGTGGCCGTTCGCACCATTGACGTTTCATCACACTGTTGACTCACAGCTGACTCCGCCGCAAATATGTGCGTTTGTACTCTTGTGTGTGCAAATTTCTTATTTCTTTAGATCGGTAAATTAAATGGAATTTACGAAATTCAGGCAAAACAAAATGTTTCCTTTTAGTTATCAGCACAAGCTTGGCTTTGATGAAAAATCGCTCGCGTTGATCTTGAACAAAAATGGTTGGCTTTTACGCCCGCTATATTTTAACTGTTGCACGTTAACTCGTATTGTTAAACCAGTTAATATCGATAACATTTTGGGCCAGTGTGTACACACTTTTAGAAAAGGTTGACAGTACACCTATGTGATGTAGACCATTGAAGTAATACAATTAATTAACTTTATAATGCATTTGGTGTATTCATGAATGCTTCCAACTGCATATTTTTACATTGAATTCAACCGAATGTATTTTTTAAATTCATGTTATTTCGCGCTCTATCGCCCACGCAACACTTACTGCTTATACACGTTGCTCAACACTATGCAGTGCACCAGTCCGCAGCCAACTTCGCGTAAAGTAGAAAACAAAATATTTTAGTGTTTCTGCGCTTATAACGATTCAGCTAATATTCGACAAATACTACTAATAAACACGAACTGCTGCCGTAGCGCGTGACCGCGTCTGCAATATTATCTTTGTGTCCATTTGTCCTCTAAGCGTGTGTGCAGTGAGAGTGTATGCTTGCATTCACAATGCGAGCGCAGAGAAAATCGAAGAAAATTCAATAAAAATAGCAACGCAACGGCTTGGCTGGCGAAAGTAGCAAAAAGTGAGAAAATGTGCTTGGTGGAGCATGCGGGGGAGAAGCAAAAGAGCACGTCATTGCAAACGCAACCGCAACAGCAGCCCTTGTCGTGGTCTTCCTCAACATCCTGCTGTTCATATCAGAGCAGCAACAACAACAGTGGTAGGAATTATAATAACAACGACAGCAGAATTTTAAGCACGCAACAAAAACATCGGCAAGAACAGCCCAGCGTCAACAATGGTGGCTTACAACAAAGCCTGCGTTGCACCACCACCACACCCACATTCAATGCCAAGTATCGCCGAAAATGCCTCCTCTTGTTAGCGTTGCTGCTCTTCCATGGCTGCTTCAGTGGATTGCACCGAGCCAGCGCGTACAACTGCACTGCGCACGGCAATCGATGCCAAAATGACGGCCAATGTCAGGAGGATGGACAGTGCTTGTGCGCAGATGGCTGGCAGGGACCGGAGTGCCAGTTTTGCGGTGGAAAAGTTCGGTAAGTTATTTCGTTCTATCGGTAGTTTTATGAGGTGATTTTAGTGCGGTCGCATGATTCATGGCAACTACGATGACACCAACAAACCCACAAACGTGCGAACAAACGTTATTCAATCAGCTAGTGCTGCTCCACTCATTTGTGGCCTAATTGTGTCAAGCAACGGTTTACTTTTGAGCTCAAGGCGGCTGCTGGCCACAGCTTGTTGGACAGGTTCTTCTCTCTTCTAACTTCTTTCATTCACTTCACGCGCTTTCTACGCCCATTTATAAAAAGCTTCTCACCTTGGTAATCGTTTCTTATTTCCTCTTAAAAAGTGTTATTATGCATTGTACAAACTGATATACTGCTTTGACTTTGAACTTGCATTGAGCGTGGAGCATTAACCAGATTTAATTAATCGAGTTTTCGTATTCAACCCAGTTCTATGCAGCCATATCTTAAGCATTCAGTTACCCAAGCCCGCTATATAAAAGCTTTTGTTTATGTTTCTTAATAACGGGTATTTGCTTTTTGTGCGATACGAACGAATTTCCTATCTTGACGTGCTGGCAGGCGCTTTGTAGGTTGTTAACGTCAAAATTGCACCATTTAATTCATTTGGTTTTTATAAATGTATGTACTTTTTTTTTTAATTTGCACTTACTAAACATCATTGACAACTTTTTCCCGTACTTTTACGATGATATAAACCCATTTAGCTTTATGATCACCAACTGATAAGCGTCCGTTTTCTTATCATCAGTTGATTTTTGCTTCAGTGAAAAATTCTACTACTAATAAGAACAAGAAAGCAGTTCAGTTCTTATACTATTTGATTAAATTTCATCAAAGCCTTATTGACCCACAGCTTTGCTCTTGATATTGTTGCTATTGCTCCCTAGACACAAACTCGCCTTTTGCGCTGGACTAGCATTTTCGATTCACATTCCAATCCGCTGCACACATATGGACGAAAGCGGTGTACATACAAGTATATGTAAAAAAAAAACAAAAATATCACATATGCTTGGCTGAGCAGCAGCTATTAACTTGTTTTTATTAAAAAGTGAGTCACAACAAAAGCAACAAACAGCAACGAGGTGTTGAACGTGCTCAAAATTAAGTTTTTTATCAGACTTTGATAAGCGGCATTTGGCGCTGATAAAAAAAATTGATTTTACAAGTGTATATTTAAAATGAATTTTGGGCCCTCTGCCTAGCTTCTGCCCTGCGAATTTATTATTTATTGTTTTCATATCAATTTAATTCATTAGAAGTCATGCAATAGTAGCCAACAAGATAATCAAAATTTTGGTGCGCTTTTTTGCTTACTTTTTTGCAAAGAAACAGGTCATTATACAGAATGGAATAATAAACCGCAAATCATGTTTATATTCGCATATGCATAGCCTGTCGTTATCAGAGACCCATCAGTTCAGTTAAGTGACGTTGTCAAGCCTAACGCTGAATGAGTTATAGTATGTAAGTTGATTTTAATTTATGATAGGAGATATACAATTTACGCGTTTGCTTTTACATTCATCTGCCTATTTTCAATTGATTTTGAAACTATTTTAAATAATTGTTCGTCTATTGGTGTGTTTATATCTATTAATAATGTAGATGTACTTTACACTATTTCCATGCTTATGTGTTTCAATCGAACAATTTTAATTCCGATTTAAATTGAATTAATTTTGATTTTCGACGTTTAAAATTACATTTACTGAACGAAGTAGTGGCTGGTTACACTACTTACTACATAGTAGTATGTTTTAGGTTTTTATTCGATGTTGTATATATTTGACGTCAGGCATGAAGGACGCAAATAGGCAGACGAACAGACATTAACGGCGGTCGCTGGGCAGTCTATTCAATTATCAATGAAACTCGTCAGAAAACGGAGAGATAGATAGACAGACAGACAGTCAGTAGAGGGCAGGCATGCAATCAGTGGAAGCATCGGCTTGCCGGGTCTAATACAATTTACATGTGCAATGGGCGTCTAATTGAAGCTAACATATATATATACAAATCGTGCGAATCGATAGAGTAAAATAGACTTAATTTCACATTCCTCTTTGTACGGGTTCTTTTCGCGTTTCCCTTGCATACTAATGAGCTGTCTCTGCTTTTGTATATATGTACGTTTTGCAGCATGTACCATCCCATGGGCACCATTCACGATGGCTGGGGTAATTATTCGGTAAGTGTCAAGTGCAGTTGGCTAATAGATGCCCGCAATCCACACTGGGGTCGGCGGCACAACGCGAATCCGCCACGCACCTCCAACATTCGCATTCATCTGCGCGAGTTCGCTACGGAATGTGGTTGGGATCACTTGTATATATACGATGGGGATAGCGTGGACTCACCGCTTCTCGCTGTGTTCAGGTGAGTGACCACGAATTTTATTGATTATTGTGTGTATTTAAATGTCTAACTTATGCTACAGCGGCCTAATGTACAGAGGCAACTTCTCCATACGTCATGTGCCACAGGTCATAGCACGTTCGGGGACCGCATTGCTGCACTTCTTCAGTGACGACGCCTACAATATGTCTGGATTTAATCTAACATATAAAATGAATGGTTGTCCCTCGGACACTGATGGTATGTTAACTTGATTTGGAGAATCAATTACAGTTTGCTAACTTGACTAAATATATGCTTTCCAGAAGTGGAATGCTCCGGTCATGGCAAATGCAAGGATGGCGACTGTCTTTGTGATCCCATGTATAGAGGGGAGGCTTGCAACATTGCAGCATGCCCCAACAACTGCACAGAGGCGCGCGGCCATGGCATCTGCAGGGTGGACCAAGAGCAGTAAGTTTACAAATAGTTTTACTGTTTTAATTATTTTTCAATTAATTCTTCTCCCTCTTCTCGCAGCTGCGTTTGCAACGAGGACTACGGTGGCGACGACTGCAGCCAGTTGCGTGCGCATGGCGTTTGGAGCACGGTACATCCAAAGCACTCTCCACCGCCTTCGGGCACTGCCTCACATGGAGCGGCTGTGTGGCGGGACACTTTGCACATCATTGGTGGAGAATCGTATGGACGTGGTGATCTGATGAACACATACGATTTCAACGGCAATGTGTGGGAGGCAGTCCATCTAGAGGAGGGCAGCAGTGCTCCAGAGAAGCGCTACAGTGCCTCTACAGTGATGTATGGCGATAAGATTTTTATGTATGGTGGCGTGGTGAAAGGGCAGGGTATCTCCAATGAGCTCTGGGCCTTCGATGTGTCGGCCAAAACGTGGGAGAACATCACAGTGAAGACGGAACTGTGCAATACAAGTTCGGCGGCATATGCCATGTGTGGGCCCTTGCATGTGGCAGGACATACTGCAACTTTGGTGCCAGGATTTGGCGACAAGAACAACTATCAGTACATGGTGGTCATTTTTGGACATTCGCCACTGTATGGCTATCTGAACACGGTGCAGGAATTTAATTTTGGCACGCGTGAATGGAGAATTGTGGACACCTACGGATATGTGGTGAAGGGCGGCTATGGACACAGTGCTGCATATGATTATTTAACTGAGAAGGTGTATGTCTATGGGGGAATTGTGTCGGAAAGCGAATCCAGCCAGGTACTGAGCTCACGCCTTTACGCCTATGAGCCCTCGACGCGCATCTGGACGCTGTTGTCAGCCTCGCCTAGTGCGCGGCTGCTACATACCGCAAATTTCGTCAATCATGGTCTGATGATTGTTTTTGGTGGCAACACGCACAACGACACTTCCCAAAGCTACGGAGCCAAGTGCTACAGCCAAGACTTGCTGATCTATGATGTCTACTGTGATTCATGGCACATGCATCCGATACCACCGCATTTGCAGGCCGATCTCGCGCGCTTTGGACACAGTTCAGTGGTTTTTGAGGATGCTCTGTACATCTATGGGGGATTCAATGGACAATTATTAAACGATATGCTTCGCTACACGCCAGGACAATGCAACTATTATACTAAACAGGAAAAATGTACCAGCGCACGTCCAGGAGTCAAGTGCATTTGGGATGTCCAGAAGATGCGTTGCATTTCCATTACACAAGTGCAACGTTCGGCAATTTATGGACGTGAGCAATACGACTATGTGGCCTGCCCTTCGAAAAGCCGTCTGACCATGACCTCGGAACTTCTACATGATGTGGCGCGATGTCAGGAGCTGACCAACTGCCATTCCTGCGTGTCCACTGCATTTGGCTGCACATATTGCGGCAATGGAGTGTGCAGCAAGGAGCGCTGTCGTGAAACCACCTCGGTGGCATCCATATTCTTTGATTCATCCACGCCACAGCAACTGCAGCAGCAACAGCAACCACAGCAGCAGCAATCACAGCTACTGGCCTCTGTGGGATGGCCCCTCAATGCTAAACGCCTCGAAAGTTGCCCAGCCACAGAAGATTATCTCACCCATACGCAGTGCGAGCAGTTGCACAATTGTCGTGCCTGTGGCTCCAATCCAGCATGTAAATGGGAGTCAGAGCACAATCGCTGTCGCACTTATTTGTCCAGTAATCCTGGTGGCCCCCTTCCCACCCATCGTACTGTGGATGAGATTTACTGTGCGCCCCCGTGCGCGACTATGACAACCTGTCACAATTGCACCGAAGATGATTGCATCTGGTGTCAAAACGAGCAACGCTGTGTAGACCGTAATGCCTACACGGCCAGTTTTCCTTATGGCCAGTGCCGTGAATGGACCACCTATACGTCCAAATGCAGGCAGACGCCTGCTAGTGTGGCCGCTGGCACCACCACCGCACTCTCAAGTGCACAATGTGGCTTCTACAACAGTTGTCAGCAGTGTTTGGATGATCCCGCCTGCGGATGGTGTGACAATGGCTCCAATACCGGTCTGGGCAAATGTATTGTCGGGGGCGCATTGTCACCATACGATGAGTCGGAGTGTCCGTTGCGTTATTGGTTTTTCACTTCGTGTCCGCGCTGCAATTGCAACGGGCATTCATACTGCAATGATCTCACACACTGTGAACAGCCTTGCTCAAATTTAACAATTGGGTCGCATTGCGAAAAGTGTCGTACCGGCTACTGGGGCAATGCCATAAATGGGGGCGAGTGTCAGAAGTGCGAGTGCAACAATCAGGGCGACTATTGTCATCCCGATACAGGCAAATGTTATTGCAACACCAAGGGCATTGTAGGTGATCATTGTGAGAAATGCGACTCACAGAATCATTATCATGGCGATCCATTGAAGGGCTCCTGTTACTATGAGCTAACCATTGACTACCAGTTCACGTTTAATTTATCCAAAAAAGAGGATCGCCATTTCACCCAAATCAATTTCCGTAATTCCCCTGTAAAGCCGGAAATCGATGCAGACTTTACAATCACCTGCAGCGTGCCAGCCAAAATGGATATATCAGTGAAGCGTGCGGGATCACCAGAAAAGCTCATACTAGTGGGTGTAAATTGCTCGACGTTCCGTCATCGTTTTCCCAAAACTGAATACGCTTTTGGGCATGCGCCCGAAGATAATAGTTCACTGACCACATTCTACGTGTTTGTGCACGACTTTCAGCCGCCCATTTGGATACAAATCGCTTTCTCCCAATATCCCAAGCTCAATCTACAACAATTCTTTATTACCTTCTCATCGTGCTTTCTATTGCTGTTGCTTATGGCTGCAGTGTTGTGGAAGATCAAGCAAAAGTATGATATGTTCCGACGACGACAACGACTCTTTGTCGAAATGGAGCAAATGGCGAGCAGGCCGTTCTCGCAGGTAAGTAGCCCATATGGCTCCTCAGAACAGCAGAATAATAACACAATGATTTTTCTATAGGTGCTGGTCGATATTGAAAATCGTGAGAATATTGATCTGAGTCTGACTCTGGAAGGTATCACTCACATGTCCAAGAAACGCAAAAAGGTAAGTCTCCTGAATATGCAATGTTAATGATTACATTTTAATCTTCATATATCTTTGTATCAGGAGTGTCCCAGTCCCATTGCTTTGGAGCCTTGCAGCGGTAATCGCGCTGCTGTGCTCTCGCTTCTAGTCCGGCTACCTACAGGTTCGTTATAAATCTTGAGCGTTAATTTGTTTTAATCCAATTTTTAATTGTATCGCAAAATTTTTAATTTATTTTCTTCTCATATTCAATTTCAGGTGGCCTCTCCCAAGCACCCGCCAGTCAGTCGGCTGGCCTAGCCGTAGCCAGTGCTTTAGTCACGCTTGGCAATCCGCGTCGCCCATCGATCGAGCAGCATCCCAAGGAGCCAAAATCGAAACGCAAGCAAAGCCAACATCCAGACAGTTGTACATAATAACAATAACATAAAAGATAATAATTATTAGTATGCTAATATGTAATTTAGCCGATAGGTCTATAGCATATTCCGTTCTTTATTCTACTTATACAGAAACACACATACCGCGGATACAAATGGATACAAAGCTAAACACAAGCAGCAATAACGATACAGCATCTTAAATAGATATTGCTTAAATGTAGTTATTGCTACCACCTTTAAATTACTAGTTTAATGTCGAAACATGGCGGCAGTAAGCAAACAAACAAAGAAAACTTATTAATAATATTTTTTAGCAAAAAGACGTATTTATATACAAATATATACAACTTGATATAGTTCATAGGTCGTGTCGTAGCGTTGCAATAGTTCTAATCGTTTTATTTATTTTTACCGCATATGTAAACTAATTTTAGATCATTGCTAATCATAATTATTATTTTTTTAACACTACACTTTATTAATCATACAATTAATTTAGCCTAACGCTCCCCCAAATAGCTTAAGTGTGTTGTTAAAATTCATTTATGCAAATTTTATGCATTATAGAAAACGAAAAAGGACAAAAGCAGAAGACAATTAAAAAAAAAAACAAAAACAAGGACAAAGGCGAAAGACATTTAAATCATCTGAGAGCAAAAGAAGAACAAACGTTAAATACATATATTTTTTGTTATTTATTAGAGCAAAAGAACAACTAAAAAGCAAAGAAATTAATTTCTCAAGAAGTGGTGTTAAATAAACGAAATGTATTTTAATAACAAAGACAGACAAAAAATACATATGCAATGTGTTCAATCATAGACATTTTATTTCTGTGCAAAAGTCTACAACCGAGCAAATAATTTAAATGGAATTTGTTTGATGCGCGCAGTTGTATGTAAATACATCTATATGTTTACGTAACTATATATGTAGCTATTATAGAAATATATCTGTATGAGCGCTCAGTAATATTTTTTTAATCTATAATAGAAAAAACAAATTCAAATATCAAATCACAAACTAAGCCTAAGGTTTCCACTTTTCCACAAATTTAAATTTAATTTCAACACAACAACATTTAAAAGACACTTAAAAAATGCAAAGAACATATTTAATTAGGCACCTTACACTCACATCAATAATACAACAAAACACAACAACAACAATTGTTAAAACTTGGAGCTAAACCGTTCAGAATCCAATTAAACACATTTTGAAGACAAAATATGTATACTTGAAAACACTTCAGAATTGCTTCAGGTGTTCGGTCACACGCAAATTGTAAAATAAAACAATACAATAATTAACAATCCAACAAATTCCGTTTTGAAATATAATTTCAATTATAAAATCGAAAAGATATACTATATTATTTTAATTGAAGCTGTAACACAAATAAAATTCAAAAAGACTTGTTTGTTCTCCTAGAGTTTAGTCTTCTTAAATAACGACAGAAACAAGAAATGATTATATATATATATACATATACATTTAAAAAAACGTATATGCATTAGTTTACTATTAACCAATAAATCGAAGAAAAACTTTAAAATTTATACAATTCAACGTCGCGTATTTTTATCTTAACTTTCATATAATTGGCGCTAACTAGCACACAATGTTGTCGTGCTTGTTGTTGTTGACGTTCACGTTGACGTTCAGCGAGTGCGGAAACCACAAGACGCGTCCACCAGAACTTTCACTTTCGTCGGCTCCAAACTGGCTTCAAGTCGACAGATGACTTACTTGATGGGAGCAGCGCAGGGTCGGCCGACTGTCTAGATGAAATGACTGAGTTAAAGTTATTTAAGTGTGAATGGGACGCGTGTGTAACGCTAAACAAGCCTCAAAATTAACATAAAACTAAATTGCAACTCTCCATTTGTACAATTTAAGACCAATGCCAAATATAGTAAGTAATGAAGGAGTGGAAAAATACGTTCACATACGATACTGATGAAAAGGTAGGTAACATACAGAAGGGAGCGTGCTCGACCCCATGTTTTGATCAGCATGTCGAGATCAAACAATATAGACATGACAGCTTCTAATCAATTAAAATTGATTTATTTTTTTATTGTTATTTATTAAGATATCGTAACCAGAATTGTACATATATTTGAGTTACAAAAACATAAATCAACTTTATATGAACCCCCACATCAAAATCTGATAACTAAGCACCGCCTCTATATGTACTTCTTAAAAATTATTATAGTAAGTACATTCTTAGTTTATAGACTCTACATAAATATACTCAATAATTCCTATTAAATGCTTCCCATCTAAACTAATCTTACCCGACTCCAGTTAATATTAACTTTTTACTTTATGCGCTTCAAATATGCGACTCCAAATAATTCTGTTTTTACGCGGTAGATTGGTTCCAGAAAGAGTCGTGTAAAAAAGACATTGATCTTAGTCGTGCAACCATTTATAAAATTTGTAATTTTCAAACCGTGTTATAAAAGATCGTGTAAAAACAGAATTATGTGTACTTCAGTTCCATCCCCAAATGACCCACAATACCTAATGGATGCTGAAAATTCGTTGCCATTGATACTTTCGACTTAAACGTTTGGCTGCAATTTATGTGTCTTTTGCGTCACGGAACTCAGCTCAACGTTGTAGTTAATTTAATGAAGATGAAGAAAGACGAAAAGACGTTTCATTTATGAAATTACTGAAGAAAGCCAAGATTGCAAAAGCCTGCGAACCCAAGCTCACGAAACCGGAAGCTGTACAGTGACGTTTCGTAGCGACGCGTCGAGACATCGAAAATAAACGCCCTTGGTGTTCAAATTTTGATGTATTTCCAAGCCTGAGTCAACCTCAACTGACAGACATGGGCGTAAGCTTAAGTCGACGGTTTTACCCAAACTTATTCTGACAATCAACGAAGGCTGTCACGTTGTAGGCTAAGCGAACTATTACAGTCTTATAATAAAAACTTATAATAATAATATTAACAATAGTATAACAGCATTTACTGCACAAACATGAATCAGAGAAATGTCCAAATGCTCACCTCAGAACAGCCAAAAAGTTGCGCTTACAAAACGATAACAGTAATTGGAGCATGAATAAGTGTGTGCGGACCCATTCAACGGCTTAGGTCCGTGGCATATTTCGAAATTACGGAAAGCCAACAACAATGCCAAGCAACAACAACACCAACATTCATGCCCAAAACTACAGAGTGACAACAAAGGTTCAAATTGTTACGCGGCATTAGGGGGACATACGAAATAATTTCTGATTTTTATACCTCTAGCGATTACCTTAAAATTCAAAGGGTGCGTCAATTTTATGAAAATAATTCAAGTACTCGGACTATACTCATGTCTAGTTTTTAATCAGTATAATTTAAATTTAAAATTCATTTGTTTGTCTCTCAGTATATAAATGTGTATGTATGTAAGTCTCGATTCGCGGACTTTAGGAACCATAGACCGAAAACTTATTGTTTACATGAACCTTTTGTTATGTATAAAATATAGCTGAGCTGACCTAGGTTTGATCAGTGGACTAAACTATTTAATAAACAGTCTTTTTATACAAGTATTTGAGAAAAACGAAATATTATTGTACCAATTATTTATAAAAATCTTCAAAATCGAACTGATACAATGGAAATGAAGTACTGAACGAAAGACTATGCAGAGGGTCAGCGGGTCCGAGTCGTCTTGATGAAATTTTGGGAATATATCATCATGACAAGCATTCAACGACTTCTACCTTTGAAAAAGTATTGTTAAAATAACCATTAACAATTCTATGGAGAATCTATGATATAATTTATCTTGGTTATTAGCTTAATCTTGAACCCTTCCACCCGAATAAATGGAAAGCTTCTAAAAACGAAAAAGTGTTTTATTTTTCTCCCCACAAAACAAGCTACGCATTAAAAGAATCAACTTTAGCTTTAACTTTATTTTCATATTAAATATATGGTTAAGAGCTTTAGTTATTATTACTATGCTGTCTGTCCGAATTCCCTATATAGCTTTAAATTCTAATCACGTTATATTTTAAAGCACATTTAGTTGTAGTTAGGTAACCCATGGCCGATTCCACTGTTAGCTTTTGACTAACTTTACTTTTTTGGCACTTTGTTGTTGGCGTCGAACATGTTCGATCGAACCTGGCCAACAACTGGCGCTCGAAGCTTGAAGTCAATCTTATTGTGAGGCCCGCCCGCCAGCGCGTTTAAATGCGTTCCGCCAGTCGTTGAAGTTGCACGCGAATTTGAATTGCTTGCCGCGCGGCAGATATAAGAAAATAGAGAAAATAGTTAGATACGTATATTTTTGTTGTAGAAATTTAAAGTGAAAACTGAATTTGGCAAAAGAGCTCGAGTGCTTCCATCTGTGTGCTGGGGCTAAGAAAAGTGTAGTGAAAAGTGTCTGTGAATGCCAGAAATTGAAAATATTTTAGTCTAAGACAAATATCGAGTGTTCGAGCTGTGCACTTGGATTAAAGCACACACACACACACACAACGCGAAACGGAACGAAACCGACCATTTAAATAATTTCACTTTTTATTGGATTAGTTGCTGTCCACCTTCACGTCTTCTCCGCCGAACAGGTTTGTTGAGCAACACACAAATCCAATTGCCGTCGATCGCATTGAAGCACACATTTTATGTGCACGGTAGTCGAAAACATGTCAAAGGTGCAGCTCATACCTGTGCTAGAGAGATCAATCAATACTTTCCATCCTCCCTCGCCACCTCGAATACCATTAGCTGCCCACTTGAGACGCTGAATGAAACCGAAAAGCGTTGCGCGCACACTTCAAAAGTGTTAATTTAGAGCTCAAGGTGAACTGTTGGCATTTAGAGAGCCGCGAGCGTTCTTAAAAAATGTAATATATTTGTAGCTCTGTTTGTTTAGAATCACGCAAAAGCGAATCAATGAGTATGTAAATATTACGAAATTTGTTGTGTCAGCTCTTCTGAGAGCGCTAATAAGCTGCCAGTCTAGGCTTGTTGACTTCGAGCTGTTCTTTTGGGATTGGCGTTTTAAAAGCGTCCGCCACGCGCGTTTAAAACAACTCTAAAAAAAATTAAAGACATTAACTGCACAAGACCAGGCCGCACCGTTAGTCGCACAGTTTCGCAAGCCAGCAGCGAACAAGCTCGCACACAACGACTAACTGTAGCAACAAATTCGCACAAAAAAAAGAGAGAAAACTTACCAAATTAAATGCGACAAGAAATATATGTAGGTAGTGGGAATTAGTTCAAAGAATAGAGGGAACAGCTTTAAGTCAACAACATATACAGCACAGACTTTCAGAAGGAATTAGAAGGAATTGCTATTAGAAAATAATAATAAAAAATATTATTTTTGGAAAAATATCTTTCTTCCTAATGTACTTTTAGGAGGAATAAGAAAGAATTACTATCAGAAAATAACACTTAATTCAGAATATTATTTTTAGAAAAATATTTTTCATCTTACATTCATCTTAATGCAACGAAATGACTTTTTGGGCAGATAGATAGATAGACAGATAGAAAGATAGCCGGTGGCCTAGTTTCATTCGATTACTTTTAATGTACTTTACAATTCACACATTTCAAAAAATAATTAATATTTATTTTAAAAAAATATGAATCGGATTGACGTTTATATGTGTTAGCAAACTTATGCTTAGATATTAGAGTCCAGTGTATTGGAATGTTCAAGCTCTCCATATTAACAGAATATTTTTAGGTGTAAAGTATTGTTCCCTAATTGGACTTTGGACAATTTAATTTCGTTTAATTGTAAATAATCTGAACTAAATTATTTGTTTTACATTTGAAAGCTTAGCATAATTTTGACAGCAAATGCCAAAAAGTTTTTTCGTTTGGGTGGCTTAGTTTGTTAGTTTAAATTCATATCGGGGTTGCTTAACTGGTTTATGAAGCATGAATTTTTACATAAAACATTAACATCATTTTAATTTATTCACGTTTTATCATTATATAAAATAACAGGCGACCAGTATACATTTAAGAGAGCAGATCAGTGTCTTATTAGAAGTGTCAAAGTATAACTAGAAAGAACGTCAAGCCAATATCAATTATTTCTTTATTATATACAAAGTATTTGTTCTTTATGTGCATTCTTCAAACTTATATAAAGCATAACTAAAGTAATTAAGGAAATTGCAAAATAACATTTTTTTATGATGACATCTGATCCGAAGCTTCTCAAACTTACTTTATGTGTAATATTTTGAGACACATTCTGCAAACTTGCAAGAAATGCAAACAAAGGGCAGAGTTCTTCTTAGCTCAACATATCCATGCTCATTATTTTCTTGACACAGTCCATGGAACTCAGCACAGCTCTTTTTTCGCCCATTTACCCTTTTGCTACTGGCCATCATGGTGACGTGTGACCTCATTTCACCAATCGTTAAACTTTACACTCTACTAACTGTTGTCGCATCGTTCAGGCCATGCACAGAAAGGCTGCCCAAGCATATCAGCTAATGCGGCAGGGTCATCGTTGCGATTTGTCGCGGCACAACAACAACAACAATAGCAGTAACAAACCACAAAAGACCACATTAGCAACACTTGACTTAACTGGCAGCAGAAAAAACTTTAAAAAAAAGTAATAAAATTCAAACATTTTCAATGACAAACATGTGTAGGCATGTATGTATATGTGTTTAGTTGAGCAGCAACTAGTTAGGCTAAGCGTCAAGTTTTGCATGTGACGACTACTTGGGTGAAATCTGTTTGGAGCGCTCGAAATTAGCAGGCGAACACACCACAACCACACACCAAAGGCGTGCCGCCAAGTTCAAGTAACTTTGCTTTGCTTTGCTTTCATTTAAACGACCGCGACGAGAAATTTGTAGACCCAGTGAAAATGCTTCAGGTGCTGATGTACTCGTGGTTGTTGTCGAACCGCCTGGCCTCGTTTTGCAGAACCTTGCCACAGCGAATAAACAAAAAACAAAAAAACCCGCTCGGCCATTCAAAATTCGTACACTTTTTAGTTCCGCGTTGAAATTTTTGCCTTGCCTTAAAAATGGTCAAGCTGGCCACTTTTTGTTGCTACAGCTCTTGTTATTGTAGTTGTTGTTATTAAAGCTGCAACGCTGGTGAAATGCGCTGCTTGCAACGCTTTGATGACTCATTGTAGCAATTTCACCAAAAAAAAAACAGCAACAGCAACAAAACTAAAGAAAAAGGAAAGACTTAGACAACGAACTTTTTTCAATGAATGCCATTTCGTGCACTTAGCGCGTCCGTCTTTAACATTTATGCCGCATTATTTTAAAGTTGCTGCCCAGTTACATAATGTCGAGCATAATTAGTGAAAATGCACGTAGTAATTGTCATTACCAGTAAGGCAAGAGTTGGAAATGAGGCTGCGTCGTTGTTTTCAATGGACCGGAAACGTACGAAAAAAATGAATTTAAAAGCTGGGCAAAAAACATATACATTTGTATACAAGTATACATACTATAAGGCTTGCTGATAGTATTGGTTGTTGCTGCTGCTGCTGCTAAAGTGAAAGCAAAACGTGGACGCCTGCGCAGATTAATCATTGACGGCACAAACTGCAAACATTTAACAGCTGCCTGGCTGCAAATGTTTCTCGAAACAAAACCTAAAGACATTGCTACATTTTGTTTTTAAAGTTCATGCCTCATGCATTGACAGCGCCATTTAGTCGTCCATTGCATAATATACATACACGCACTATAAAAAAGAAATAAGTTATGCGCATACATTTTGGCGTCATAAATATGAAAATTCTTTACACAGCCCTCTTTGGGAGTTAAACAAATGCAAATGTGTGCCAGTTGAAAAAAGAAGCCCTCAAGCAAAACCAAATAAAAACCACAAACAAAAGCAACAAAAAAGCACAAATGCTGATAGTGAAAGTATTTAAATTTCACAGTCTGCGCAGTGACGTCAAAGCGGCAAAAGCGCTCCCACAGTAGAGGGAATTTCAAAAAAATGAGATTAATTTTTAAATAAAAAACCAAACAGATTTTAAAGCATCATTAGATAACAAGAAAATAATTCTGGAAATGTACACAACTACTATATGTCACCTAAAAAACCATCCATGTACTTCCTATTGTTTTTGATTTATCACGAAAATGCAGTTATTACCAAAAGATTGCCATTTTTCTAGGTTTAGGGCACTCTGTTTTCCACATTAGGTATTAAAATTGCGTTTCTTATACTTTATTAACAGCATCAACTCATTTTATCATGGAGTTTTTCATAACATCTTCGAGATTATAAAATATGTTCGCACAAATATTATTCTATAATATATAACCTTTTGAGTGCAGGCAATAATTATTATCTTAGAGGTGGAATACCCGGTTTTGCAGTAGCTGCTTAAAAAAGAAGATCATATAAAAACGTTTCGAATACTAATTAGGCAATATTTGTCACCTAAAGAATTGTAAAATTTCCCACCCACGGCACAACTTAGTTAAATTTAATACAATCCAAGTAAGACAGTTAGTAACTACACAAGTGCTGTTATCAATAAACAACAGACACATAAAATGCTTCAGGTATGCTGTTTTATGAATAGGTCCTTTCAAATATTAAATTTTGGTAAAATTACACATGTATCTTAAACTTGAGGTTACTTTAAGCGCCTAAGCGCTAAGCTGAATAAATTTGTTTCCTTTTAAAACGGTATTTAAGGCAGGAAATTGGACGCAAAAAAACTCTACTATTCCCTTATTATTTTATTTCTTTTAGTTATATGAACCTATGCATTTCTTTTTTAATATTAGTTATACAGACTCTGTTAGATATCAATAATATAATAAGTTTCGGTCACCCTACAAGTATGTCTGTTGTCAAAAAATGTACAACAATGTTTGTTTACAAAATTAGCATCAAAACTAGATAGCTAACAGAAATGACTGATCAGGATACTTTCATATAATTGAGTGTCAATCAAATAATGGAAATATTTACTTAAAACAATATGTTCCCATATCAGCATATAAGTTTAATTGGGAAGTACTTATAATATATAATAAATTAACAATGGAATTGTTTTAAGAATAAAATCGGATTAGTTGAACATTCCTGTATGGAAAATATTTAATAACCCTACTCTTTAACTCAAATTTTCAAACTTCAATTTCAATGGCATTTCTTTGAACTCATTATGCGAAATATATTTAATTAAGATATTTACCGTTTAATACTACCACTATGTCAAAAAATCAATTTTTTAATTTATTTATTCCACAGTGAGCTTGAATTTTAAATTTTAACTCGAGAAGAAATTTACAAAATATACATTACTCATGTGCAAACATTTATTTATATCTCTATCTCTCTTTGCAGCGACCGAAAACTCCAAAGCGCGACAGGAAATTTGTTGATGCCAGAGCCTGAATATGGCGCACTATGATCAACGTTGGCTGAAATTGTTTTCGGGCACAGTATTGTTGTTGTTGGTATTGCTGCCTGGGCTGCTGCTCGACGGTGTTGCAGCAAAACGTGCGAATGGTGAGTAATGATGATGATCGTAATGATGAAGAAGGGAGGCTGCAACATGAGTGGCACAAGCACACGCACATTCACACGCACATGCCAAGTGTCGTTGACTTCTTGTGGCCCAAAACGAACGCACACAAACAAACACACATACGAGTACACATTGGTGAAATCTGTCTTGTGGCGCGTATTTTTGGAACCATATTCTTCAAGTCAACGAACTTGGCGAGATATGTGGAACAACTGCAAGTCCAAAAATATATATGTATGTGTATACGTATATATTGGCGGCATGCAATGCTCAAACCGTAATTAGCGTGAGTGTGGCTCCATTCGATTTTAATTGCAAGCCTTCGCACGCTGTCGAAATTTGGCCACAAATGGGAACAAATTCGTGTGTAGAACGAGAATTATGAGGCGCTAAAAATAAAGCAACTAGGCACAGCAAGAGAAGTCATTAAAAAACGCTTAGCCATGGGCAAAATAAAAGACTAGCTGCACGAACTTGGATCGAACTTGAGGCACCACAGGCACGCCAAAAGCCGTTAAACACATGCATGTATCTGTGTATATGCTCGTATGTATATGTAAAGCAAATGCATGCAACAACGTATCAAAAGAAACCCCATCAACTTCAAACTCAACTCAACTCAACGCAAACTCCAACTGCGACACTGTGTCAGTCGGTCACAGCCGCCGCCTCCATTTCTTGCCCCCGCTCATGTACTCGGCTAGAAGTTGTGCACCCAACCTATGAGCCGTGTCTTCGTGCAGCTTTGATTTCGTTTTCGTTACGGTTTTGCGTGCTGTTGTTGTTACAGCAAAACGAAAGACTTAAGCGACAAACTTGATTTCGCTTGCCTAGAAACGTGCTGCGGTTGTTATTGTTGCCAGCAATGTTGTTTTTTTTTTTTTTATTATTATTGTTGCCGCTGGTGCTGTTGCTGCCACTGTTTTGTTATTGCTAGCACCACTCATTATTTTCATTATTGGCCGCCTTAATTGGTTTTATGCCCGACTCTTGACTTGACAAGAAACTTTTGTTTTTGTTTCATTCATAAATTAATGCTGCTGCTGCTACTTTTGCTATTGCTATTACTGTTACTGTCGCTGCTGTTATTTTCTGAAAACCGAAAGCCATTTTCATTTGACCAAAAATTTATGGTCTGCACATAAAAACTTTCATTTAATTTCTAGCGAAAAGGAGATAAATAAACAAACAAAAACAGACATCGAACATTATTGTAGTAAGTAAAAAAGTCTCTTTTCGTGTGTCGTGTGTATTTTAAAAGCCGAAATTGAAGCGGATGTGATTGCACAGCTGTGACGTTGTCATGCTGGTGCGTCACACATGTGTCGTAGTCCGCGCTCAAATACTATAAGGTCAAATGATTAATCTTCGAAATTAACGCCAAACTGTCAAGCTTTTTCCACAAAATTGGGACGAACACTTCATTAATTTCGACCATGTCTAATGAATTGGTCAATTGCATAAGTTGATGCCCAGCTAATGTGCGTATCGAAAGTGCATTAAAACTGCATTACGTCGTAGAGACTGGTAGGTCTTGTTGTCTGCTGTCTGTTGACCAGCAAACATCAACGAAAGGCAGAGGCCGTTAAAAAGCTGACGAAGCGCAATGAGCGCGTCGCTCGTTTTGCGAAATCAAAAATTGCCTTTATAATTAGAGATGGCCACGTGATATATACTCGTACATATATACATATACAATATCGTTAAAGCTGTATTAATATAATAACATTGAACAAAGACTAATATTAGCATTAAAATCTAATCTAACAAATGAAAGTAGAAATGCAGAATTTTCTACCAATTACATATTTTGGGTGAAAATATTTTATCAATAATTATAAAGTGGAAGTGGAACAGCTTAAACCTCAAAGGCAAATCAATTCATACTTTCTTAAATTACACAAATATTTTAGTAAAAACTATACCATAAAGGCAAAGCGTTTATTATTGTCATTCTATATATCATATATGTATATTCTTGAGGGGATTGAACAGTCTATCTCTATGAACGCAATGATCTTTGGAGAAAGGGCAGTTGGTCTCCAATGTGGGTATGCAAGTACTTTAAATTTCGGAAAAGGACAAGCCATTGAGTGAAAGACATCAACCTTTCTCTTTCTTATTTCCAATTTAAACTTTAAATTGATATTAAGTATTGCAGATATTTTAATAAACTAGATTGTTTATATACACCCAGATGGGGTTCATTTACTGGATTGGTATGACAAGACAGGTCGATAAAGCAATCCTCTCGGCTATATAAACGCAAAGATGTAAATAAGTGAGATCTAGAATTCTTAAAGTGTGATAAGTCCTTATGCACAGCCCATCCGCTTTTGCTGATTTTTCATAACTCCCGTAATTCTTGAAACTGTTTGTCCTTTTTTGACAACTAAATTCATCCGAGAGCTTGTTTGAATATAGAACGCTGAACGTTCAGGATTAAGACTTTCTTCCCAATCTGATGGCTTACTGCCTAGTGCTCACGCTTTAATCACGCGCTCATCTTTATACATATCTACTTGAAAGAGGGGCTGGGGGGAGGCCTGGCGCTGTTACGTAATCAGCGATGCATGAAGTGTGTAGTTTAGACAATGAGCACGACTAATGGGACAGAATGTAGCAGAGAGGAGCACCAATTCAAAATGGCACGCCAACCTAAGTCAAATTGCGCATACGCCGCGTACGCCAACGAAACACAATTCGCATGCAAAGCGCGCAATCGGCCAAACTTGCTGGCTGACTGGCCCTGAGACGAGCCCGTTCGCATGGTCATCAGCGAGCAGCAAACACAGTCATAAAAATAACAACAATGTCCGGCCATTTGTGTTTATTTTAATTTCAATTTGTTAGCGTTATTTTTTATGAAATTCGCGCACGTTTCGAAAAGTGAAATTGACGTAGCTCTGAGGTCTATAATTTACTATACGAGCAGTGTGTGGGTTTTTTCTTCATCACCTGCAGTTGAATAACATGAAAGTATGTCACCTTTCTAACCTCTCTCCCTCTCTATGTCTCTCTTGAACAGCAAATCTCACAGCCTGTCAGCATCTGCGACGTTCGGAGACGCGCAGATCGAAGGCTCTGCAAAATTCGAAATCGATTCGCATTCCACGTTGTAACAAAGGTGGAGAGTTTGAGCCAATTCAGTGTAGCAATGAACGCGCCGGGGAGGATTGCTGGTGCATTGATGAGTATGGTGTGGAGTTGCCTGGAACAAGGAGAACAAATCGTACGGCTGTAATCTGTGAGGAGCCCAAGCACTGTACCGCTTCAGCTTGCCGCATGTTTTGCCCATCGGGCTTTGCACGAGATGCCGAGACAGGCTGCTCGGTTTGTCGCTGTCGTGACCCTTGCGATGGTCTGGAGTGTCCACGCGGCCAGTCCTGCCAGCTACAGGATGTCAATTGCAAATCGGAGCCGTGTCCACCAATACCCACTTGCAAGAAAGCGCGCTCGCTAGCCAATTATTGCCCTGCTGGTCTTCCGCTGGCCATCGACGATAGCGTGCGTCCATTTTTGTGTGGCCTCGAGGCGGGCAAGCCCCAATGTCCCCCACTCTACCAGTGCATGATCGAGTCTGGCAATGACTATGGCGTGTGTTGTCCCAGTGCATTGACTTTCCAGAAGCCTGGGCTTTGCCCGGCACCTGATAAGGCCGAGTACAGCGAACGCACGGGCTACATGTGCGGCACGCCCTGCAGTCACGATCTGGAGTGCCGGAATATGGAGAAGTGCTGCCACACCAAGGGCTGTCAATTCAACTGCCAGCAGCCAAGCAACGTTACGGGTTGTCATCAGGCACGCGCTCTCGCCGATGTGTTGTCCATAAACGAGCGTGAAGGACGCGGCTACGTGCCTGAGTGCAACGGACCCGGTGGACAGTTCTCACCTAGGCAATGTTCCCGAAACGGTTTGGTCTGCTGGTGCGTTGATCCGCGCACAGGGCATAAAATCAAGGAGACAATGGGTGCGGCCAACAATGTAAACTGCGATGGCTGGGAGAACATGATCAGTCGCTCCTACGCCCGCAGCTTTCACACGGAACAATGCGATACGAACATTTGTGCCGCCGTCTGCGAATATGGCTTTAAAGTGAGTCTCTGCCAAATGATGCACCGCCCACTTCAGTTCTTCATCATTTATTTCCAAACTATTTCCAGAACGATCACAATGGCTGCCCCACCTGCGAATGCTCCGAACCTTGTGAGGGTTTTAAGTGCGCCATTGGCTCACACTGCGAGGTAGCCAGCGATCCTCTTTGCGAGTCCGGCTCAGCGCTATGCGCCTCCTGGCCTGTCTGCAAACCAGATTTGGTCTACTCCAATCCCTGCGATGTGGGCACCCCATTGTCAGACACAGTCACTGGCGAAGTCATGTATTGTTTTGAGGAGCGACAGAGTCGCGCCTTTCAGCCCACTGCATTCTTCGAACCAGAGCCGGAAGTCAAACAGGGTCGTTCTATGAGCAACCGGATTATGTGCCCGGAGCAGTATAAGTGCACCAAACTTCATCGCGAGGCGGAGAGCGTGTGCTGTCCACTGCCGGAGCAGAGCACACCAACAGAAGAGCAGACCACGCGTCAGCAAACAAGTGAGTAGAATGAGAGAATTAGCAGTAACACCACCTTAGCATGATTTCCGATCTATTAGTCAATCGAAATTCGATTCGACGGATTTTTCTGTTCTCTGTACCAGAAGCAGACAAAGGCAGACTAGAATGCCAAATGTATTTCACAGGCAGAAAAAGGAGTTAACATCATACGATCACCATAACTAGATCAATCTATCAAACTAGCTGAATCGTTCGCATGAACAAAAAAAATTGTTAAACCATAACAGCTAGGGACAGCAAACCATACCCAGACCAAGTTTATTACAAACCACATAGGTCCATCTCTGTATCATAATATTCCGATGTTTCAAAATATGATATTAATATTATATATGATATATTTGAAATAATCTATTTGGCCTAATCCCTGTTCTCTTCTCTTTTACCAGTGTGCGAGTACCTGCGGGACTTCTCGGAGCGCATGGAGGGTACGGAGGAGGGTATGCAACTAGCTGTACCTGCGCCCCGCTGCACCGATGATGGTGACTATAAAGAGCGTCAGTGCACTTTGCGCAAGATCCGTGTCACCCGTTCGGAACAGCGAAAAATTCTAGAGGAGAATACTATTCGAAGGATGCGCATGCTGCTGAGCAGCGCTGCTCCAGTTTCACAGCGTACTCGTCGGGATGTGGAGCGTCTAAAGCTCTATCGTGTTGATGACAGTGCACTGAAGGTTGCACTGGCGGCTCCTATAATGGGACGTAGTGCCAAGGTCATTGACATTGGCGCTGAACGGCAGCAGAGTCTGGGACAACTGTTTGAGACGGATTTCAAGAAAGTGGCATCCGCATCCAAGCGACCCACGACTGAAGATGACCTCATCGAAATGGAGGTGGAGGAGTGCTGGTGCGTCGATAGCTTTGGCACAGAAATTCCTCGATCACGTGGCTTTAACGTGACCGACGAAAGTTGCCGGCAGCTGCGCGACGAGGTAGACTGCCTGGATCTCACCTGCCGTATGGGCTGTGAATACGGTTTTGCCCTAGACCCACACACACGCTGTCCGGCCTGTCAATGTCGCGATCCCTGTGAAGGCGTCAGCTGCGGCGACGGAAAGGAATGTCGCATAGTGGACGTTTCTTGTGATGAGGAATACTGCCCACCAGTACCGGCATGCTTACCACGTAAGCCCGGGCAGTGTCCTTACTTGGTGCCACCTGGTCCAGATAACTTGGACGCGAATACCTGTGCATATGAGTGTCGCACGGATACGCACTGTGAGGGCGCTCGACGTTGTTGCTCAAATGGATGTGGCACGCAATGCGTGGAACCGCAGCTGAAGACCGCCTGTCAGCACCTGCAGGCAATACAGATGCATCAAAGCTCTGAGCTTGGAATCCCGGCACGCCAAATGCATATTGCCCAATGTGATCCTCAGACAGGCAAATGGGAGGAGGTCCAGTGTGCTCCCGATGGACGCTGCTGGTGTGTAGATGCGCAGGGTCGCGAACTTGCTGGGTCCCGCGTTAAAGGAAACTCACCAAAATGCTTGGAGAACTCCAGCTATGAATGCCCAAAGCAAAGCTGCAACCTGACCTGTGAGAGCGGCTTCAAAATGGATGCCAATGGCTGTCCGAGCTGTGAGTGTCGTAACTTTTGCGATGAACTGAGCTGCGCCGGGGACGAGGAGTGTCAACTGATCAACGTGGAATGCGTGGATAGTCCTTGTCCAAAGATGCCCATCTGTGTGCCAAGACGTGCTTCGGTCTGTCCCGAAGGTAGTCCGCTGCAGCAGGGGGATCTAGATGTCAGTTGTGGTCCCCATAATGAACACGAAGCATGTCCCACTACGCACTCCTGTCAATTAAATCCAGTTAGCAATAGGGGAGTTTGTTGTACAAAGACCCGCGACGTTTGCTTCGAGTCCATGGATAATGTGTGTGTGGCTAACGAAAAATCTGAACATAATTCAACACGATATCGCTTCAGCCCCAAGGCTAATAAGTGTGTCGCGGTAGCCATCGATGCCGATGCCGCCACTTGTCAAACAAAGAATTTATTCCATAATGAACTGGCCTGCAACTCCGTGTGTCCAGGTGAGTTCTAAACCTTAAACTTTACTGGAAAGTTCATTAATCATTCAACGTTTCTCTTACCCCTCTCTCCAGCACTTACCCAATGTGAACGACTTAAACTTAAGAACGGTCTGGCTGCCCAACGGACGGGCCACTCCTCCGTGTGGTTCCAACCTCGCTGTGATCCTATTACTGGCCACTGGTCCCCAGTGCAATGTTTGGGAAAGCAGCCTGCATTGGTTAACACCAAACGCACTGAGATTATTAGTCGCGCCTTATCTGCTGCACCTGAGGACTCTCTGCCCACTCCGTATGGTGTTTGTTGGTGCGCTGACAAGAAGGGCGCACCACTCAAGGGCACACTCACGCGAGATATTGAGCCCACATGTAACAGTCGTCAGGGGCGAAACCGGAAGAACTTCGATGTGGGAGACCCGCTCATGGAGGAGCTCATACGCCAGATGACACTTCTCAATGATGTGGATGCGGAGCTGTCCAGTGAACTGGACTTCGAGGAAGTGGCATCTGTGCGTATGGTTCCGTCAACGGCCAGCGCGGCCGACACATCGGTGACGGAACGCGTTCTAGAGCTTGCCAACTCGCTGTTGGACTCAAAGCTGAGCGTGCTGGAGGCAGCCCACCTGAAGCCCATGCAACTGAAAACTACACGCTGCCGGGCCTTGGCTGCGACTGCCACTTTCCCAGTTAGTTGCGATGCACAAGGTGCTTTCCGTCCTCTGCAGTGCAACGGACGGTCCTGTTGGTGTGTAGACGCTGCGGGTAATCAATTGGACGCAACCCACATGTTTGGCCAAGGCGACAAGCATTGCAATCATGTGCCGATCGAGTCCGTCGCCGTTGAACTACACATGAGCAACAGCAGTGCGAGGGGAGTGAGGAATGTTTACGACACCATTCGCGATGAACTGCACCAGCTCTTGGGTGATGCGGTAGAGAACCTGCGCGTACAGGAGAACTTCGATGGATCGCTAATCGTGCGCTTCGAACTTCACAATGAGTCCAAGGTGGACATGGCCTTTGCCATTGAGTCGGCCATTGCTGCAGGAGATTTCCAACTAGCCTCCGGACACTTTAAGCCCGACATCACACGCTCGCATTTCGTGCATCGCAGTGCCGTGCCACCAGTGGCTCAGGCCGCAACTGCACAGGACGAACACATTCAGTTGGTGCTGTTCATTATGGCTACCAGCTCGGCTTTTTTGGTCAGTGTCTTCGTGGTCTATGTGATGCTAAAGCGCAATCGTCGCAAGGTGATTCACAATAACTATGCGTATCCCATTTATCCAGCGGGTAAGGGCAGCGGAAGCGGTGGCAGTGGAGACAAGCCTCTGGACTACTCTGCGCCCATCTTTGTGCTAAGCACGGCACCGTCCACTGAACCGGAGAGTCTGAAGCCGGAAAAGGCGTAGACATGCTCGATGTCTTCTGTTCTTGTTGCTAAGTTATATAAATGAATTTGTAAATAGACAGAATACGTTTACAACTAGAATACGCGAGAGGGGGGCACCGACCCCCCACAGATCCAGATATTTATGTAATTCTTTAGGCCCTAAGACGACTAATTTATGAATAAAGCTTTAAAAACGACCAATTAATTGAAAATAGATAAATGCTATTTCATTTTTGTCAGCAAAAACAGTTTTGATTTTAATATCTTGTAATACATTATATTATCAGCGACGACAATTGATTATCATCATAATCATAATCATTATCCATAAACGTACAAGTATGTATATATGTATTAATAAATTTTGGCTTCATTACATGCAACTCAGTTTTTCATTTCCAAACATCGATCGCTTCTCAGTTTCAAAATTTGCGCGCACCTAGGCAAAAAGTTTTGGAGTGTGTGTGTGTGTGTGTTTGTAACAACTATATAGAAAGTTATTTGTATATTCATTTGTATATTTATGTAGTATGTGTATATGTATGCTAATGCTAAGTGCCGCTGGATATAAAGTATCCAAAACGCACGCTGCTAATATCTCAAGAATGTGAGTTGTTTGTATAATTTTGTTCTCAATCAACATTTGCTTAGAGTTATAGATATAATTGGTTTCAATAGAAAATGCAATACTCATAGATACAATTGGAAAGTTTTTGAAAATGCATTTGCGATATTGGCATTCATTGTTCGAGCCTTACATACAAGGTATAAAGAGTTCAACTAATTGTAAGTTTATACACGCAAATAGAAAGCTAAGGTCAGCAAACACTTTATTTTTGGGGAATACCTGAAAAACTACTCAAAACTATTTGTAAATACTAAAGAATACCAATTAATATTCACATATTTCAATAACTCTTCATATTTTTCAGTAATTTTTGAATCACTGGACCTCAGATCTACTTATGAGAAATATGAATCATTAATCTCAAATGTGGTAGCCAATGTTCATTTATTTAGCATAATTATCGACCTGTTTTCAAATGAGAAAATTGAGATTTTTATATATAGATTCTATTATCTCTTCTTATTGAATTGAACTTTCTGGCTGAGCTTCATTCGATCATTCATTCATTCGAGGGGTTTTTAACAAAAATATAAAAATAATTTCCCATGCGAAAAATGTACAAAATTGTATCCTTTTCGAACATAACCATTTTACAAGATAGATACATAATTAGTCAAGGATAAAGAGACAGATGTTTTAGAACACAAAAGTAGCAAAGATTTGCGCGTATAAACTTACATTTGTATAACTTAAAAAAATATCATTTACAAATACAATAATATTAAAATGAACGAAATGTTAGGTGTGTTAGGGCGACAGTAAGTTTAAAAAAGTTTAAGATATTGAGCAAATTGAACTATTGCAGTGAATGTAAACATTTGGCTTAAGCTACTTAACATGCAATTAAAAATGTAATATCTTTAAAATTGGCCTTGGAGACTCAAAAGATATGCGAATATGTGTGCAGAGTCATTTCAAAAAGCATGCGTGCAGATTGTTTAACAACTAAGTGAGTACTGTATTATGTATGCATTGTATACGTGTATGTACTGTATGTATATGAATATGTATATGTATTTGTATATAGTAGCTAGCCAGTGTACGAGTATGCCAGTGAGTGAGTCATTCGGTTTTAGATGACTTGTGAATGCATCCAATGGAAGTTGAGCTGCATAAACTATTTGGTTATGGATTAGTTACTAAAACTTAAGTTAGATTTTACACAAAAATCATTGTTAGCTGCTGGGCAAAGGCCCGGCAATGGCTTATATAAATGGTACGTATAACAAATTGTAAGAGTCAGGCTCTACGCCAGACCTTACTTAGAGGCGTCTCCATTGTTGCTGCCATTGTTGTTGTTATTGTTGTTGTTCCGCTGAAGGTTGTTGAAACCGCCAAAAGGAATGGCTGCACGTTGATCCTCCATGCGACCGCTCTGTACTTTCATGATGAGCGAGAAGAAATCCTCGTCGGGTACGGTTGTGCCGCGACCCGAACGACCGCGGCCACCGCCCACAGCGGCTGCCTCTGGCGCTTGCGGCTGCGGTGCCTCCGCATCCATTGTAACATTTGGTCGTGGCAATTCCGAGCGCTGTTCCTCCAGTCTAGAGCCTTGACAGCGCATAAGCATGTCGAGAAAAGCATCGTCCGGTTGCTGCGTGGTGGTGGCACTCCTTGCCAGCGGCGCATGAGCACCACTGGGAGTGGCCGATGTTGGCGACTTTAGGCCCGGCAAATTGCCGGGATCAGCAAACAGCGAATTCTGCTGCACCAGCGGTTTGCGTGTGGCTCCTGTGGCAACCGCTGCAGCTGCAGGTGCAGCTCCTGTGCGTTGAATTTTAATGGAGCAGCGCTGGTCATCCATGCGCTTGGACTGAGAACGCGAGAGCATTTCGAAAAAGTCATCCTCTTTGGGTTTTGTGTCGCCGCCACCGCCAGCTTTGTGTTTCTTCTCCTCCTGCAAACGCTTGCCGTCGGGAGTTATCTTAATCAGATCCAGCTGTTCCATGCTCTGGCGACGCACGCGAATCTGCGTGAAGTAAAAATTATAGGTGATTTTTGTATAATAATAACTATGTATTAACGAACTTCTTTAATAAAAAAAAATTTGATGGGTTTCGATAATACTTATAAATAATTAAATACAAATTTGGCAAAATTTTAAAGCCCATTATGCTATTTACCATACGTCCTTGTGAGCTTTCCGAGCAGTCTGATTGATGACCGCTGGCCGAATGGTCCGATGCGCTGGAACGATCTTCACCATCGGTGGGCGTCTGCACAGCTTCGGGCAAACCGAGCAGTTTCCTTAAATCGGAAATATTAACGCGTGCTGTGCTCTCGCCCACAGGATCGTGTAGCTCCTTGGCTAGCTGCAGATGCGATTCAGCAAATTGGAGCGCCTTGTCATGATTGCCAATGGCCGAATGGGCATTTCCCAATGACCAGCAGGCACGAGCCTCACCGATTCGATCGCCCAGTTCCTGGGCTATGGCCAAATGTCGATGATGGTATTCAATGGCTGTAGTGAACTCATGGAGCAGCGTATATGTGTTACCCAAACTGTAGCACGATTGCGCCTCTACTTCACGTTCGCCCAACTCGATAGCCAACGCCAGTGTGCGTTTGTAGTGTTCGGCAGCCTCCTCGAACTGGCCAAGAAAGATGTGTGAGTTGCCAAGATTGCTGTTGGCTCGCCGCTCGGCTGCGCGATCCCCAAATTCCCGGGCAATGCGAAGACGCTCCTGATGATGCTCGATGGCGGCCTGGAAATCACCAAGCAAGTAGTATGTGTTGCCCAAATTTCCGCACGCGCGTCCTTGCGCGCCACGGTCGCCCAAATCTCTCATTAGCTTTAGATTCTCCTGATAAAATTCCACTGCTTTTCCCAGAGCCTCCTTCACATCATCACCGAATTTTCCTGGATTTCGCTGCCCCATATGCTTGCCTTTGGCGTGGTAAACATTTCCTAAATTGTAGAGCGCACGACCCTCTGATAATCGGTCTCCCAACTGCCGCGCCAACGTCAGGTGGCGCTCGCAACAGATGGCCGCTTCATCGAACCGGCCCATAACCTTAAGTGTGTTGCCTAGATTTCCCGAAGATTTAGCCTCGCCCAGTTTATCATTCATAGATTTAGCCAATGTTAAGTCGTGCTTGTGGTACTGCATGGCTTTGGTGTAGTCGCCCAAATAGAAGTAGGCGTTGCCCAGCTGTGAGTATATGGCCGAAAGTGTCCGCAAATCATCCGTACCCGCCTGAATGGCTGCCTGAAAAAAGGCGACGCCTGCACGACAATCGCCAGCCTTACAGAGCCGCTCACCCTCCAGCGCCAATTCCAGACACATACTGGATCCGCCATCAGAGCCATGGTGTGAGTTGGAGTCCTGGCCACCACCGCCCACTCCTAATGTGGACACATTTTCAGCTGATGCAGACAACGAAGACATTGCCTTTGTTGCTACTCGGCTACAGTAAAAACGAAGAAAAACTGGGAGTTGTTCGCCTGCGCCGCAGTTTTTCACTCGATTTTAGGCGTAATAAACTTTCACTTTAACCGCAAACTACACACTGTGAGTGTGCATGGAAGTCTCCCCGCAATATTGGATGGTCTTTTGTGAAAACTGCTATAATTACTGACACCTTTCTTTACCGTTTTGCAACCAATTAATTTTTCGTTAATGTCGTTCTGATTCACAATAAATATGTGACCAGACTGATGTACGGAAAATACCAAAGATAATACTAACCAACACTCCAAGACACAAATATTTACAATTGTAATTATTAATTATTTGTTTTGTTGTTTTATTATTTGTAAATGTAAAATTTGCATTATTTGAACCAAATAATTTAATTACAGAAATTTAAATAAAGTGTATTTAAGCTAATAGAGAACTACCTACAAAGAAAATATTACAATTATTTCAATGTAACAATTAATAATAACCATATACATACATATGTGTATTTCATATAGAAATATTATAACAAAGTAGTGGTATTTATATTAATTTATACATACAAGTATGCAAAAAGGATATAATATATGAATTGCTGACCATTAATAAATAATGCAAAGATTTTATCGTAGTAGTATAATAATTAATATGTATGAGTTGACCATATAAAATAACATGATTTCAGATCTGGTTTAAATGATCTCATCTTTTTTTCATAGTTCTTGAAAAATAACTGATGCATGTTGTCTTATATAATATTAGTCAATGTATGTAATTGTGAGACTACTTTCCTTATTTTCGTTATGTTGTTACCCGCACTGAAGTGCTGCAAAACATTTGCCCAACACAATTACCCAACACTGACGGAAAACTGAACGTGTACTGGCCTCCTTAAAGATGGCGTCACTTTCCACGGTCTGAACGAAGGGAGAATATTAAAAGATTTTAAATTAGTAATTATCGCATTAACAAGGCTTAAGAGGTGTACGAAATAGTCGCAAAGTGTCAACGCAAGTGCTGAGCATAATATGCAATTAAAATTGTGGCAAGTGCGTGTGCCTTTGTCAGCGTAAATCGCCAACGAAAAAATTGTGCAAACGCTCAGTGAAAAAATGCGAATGTCGTAGTCGTCGCCGTCGCCGCTTTTGAGTGTACGTACGTGCGCCGCGTTTTGCACGGCAGCTGCGCTGCTTGCTACCAGAGAATTGAAGGTGTGAATTTTTAATTTTTTTGTGTTTCTAGCTCCGGCATCTCTCACCCAATCGTTGATGTATAGTTTCAATGCAGTGAAATTGTGTGGCAAGGGCATCGTGCTTAATGCTATGAATTAATACACAAAAAGTCAAATAGTTTTGTGTCCCTGTGTAAAAATTCTGCGAGCAGCAAGACAGCAGGAGCAGCGAGAGAGCGCATCAGAGTACGCGCATTGGCACACACACATATATGCACATACGTACATCATTATACTCGCATACAACGTTAAGTTCAGAAGAGCGAAAAACAATCATTTGTGGTGAGTGTTGCCTTTCGATGAACATAAAAACGTTTTAATTTGTTGGCGAAGCCGATTAAACAGCCTCTTTGACCGGCCAAGGTACAATTGCACATTGTCTTGCACAGATATACATGAGTATTGTTCTTATTGCTTGAAGTGACGCCATGAGTTAAATGTATGGTTTGCAGCTGCATGTTTGACAGACAGCCCCAAGTCACGCGTATTAATTAATTTTAGTGGCCATAAGTTTTACGAGAATAGCACATTTAACAATTGCGCTGTTATCACCGAGATCGACTGTCAATTAATATATTGGCATCTTTTTATGACTGCTGCATTTCACCTAATTGCCGCTTGGTTTTTATGAACGAAAAAGTTGTTCTGTATATAATATGAATTTTCAAATTAAATTCACCACACTCTCGCACACACACTCACCCAAACTTACATACATACTGGAGCCCCTGAATGTCGGTTTCTCTCTGTAGCGTGTGTGATTCACAAAAGCAACAACCCCAACATATTATCTACTACACATTTTCGCTACTTTTACTATACAATAACAACAAGTATGAACGTCAACAGCCAGCAAGCGAGCGCAGCTGCTCCACCTGTCAGCCACATTCCATGCTCTCCACTGCTGGTGTGTTTCACAAACCTTAAAACTCTTTTATGAACAATTTAAAATTCTTCAATAAATCTAGTCGCTCCATTACTGTTTTTTGCGTCTTTGCTTTGGTCCTCGTTTCGTGCTAATGAAAAGAAACGTATGTGTGGGTCAAGTTTTGTGGGAGACACTCGAACACACACATACACCTAAACATCAGAGCAGCAGAGAGCGCCAAATGAAAACGGCTTTCTTTGTGGCGCAGCAGCGACGACGGCGACAAAAGCAGCGACGTCGTTTCAGTTGCCGTACGTCGCTGTCGTCGGTTGGGTGCAAAAAGAATAATTTTTTACATATGTATATACTAAGTAGCAGCATCAGCGAAAAAAAAGAGGAATCAGAATCTGTATTTGCAAAAGCATTGTGCGGTTACTTTGCTACTAAATACTAAAAAAAATATGCTCGTGGGGCCGACCGTCAGGCCAAATGCAAATGTTTCAAGTGCGCATTCGAAGTCTCCGTGTTGAAAATAAATAAATAAATATGTAATTACAATTCGATATTCAACGCGCACACACACACACACACTTACATGTAGGCGAGTGTGCCACAAACAAATTAAAAAAGCCGCATGTAGTGCGTTGAAATAGCCGCCGTCTATTTCGACTACAATTGAATTCCTTTCGAGTTTTTATATTTTATGTGCGTTTTTTATTCGTATTTTACTTATATTATTTTTAGAATATCGATTTTGTTGGGTGCCAACACTCGCATACACACAAGAGACTTTTTAGCTACACTTTTGTGTGGCTCTGTTGCCTGTCGTCCATATGTGTGAGTGTATGTGCGTGCGTGCCTCTGTTTATGTGAAAATATTTATGATAAGTGTACACAGTAAGAATGTGTGAAGCATTGATGTTTTCATATAGACTAAAAGTTACCTAATCGTTGTGCAAAAACGTAAAACAACAACACCAAAAATTGTCTGCCGTCATCGTCATTTCTCGTCCAGCGATTTTTGTCGCCCATTTAACGATCATCGTCGCGCTATGTTCAAAACAGCTGCTCAGTTCAGCTCATCACATTTCGCTCTTACCTCTGTCTACCTCTCCCAACTCACATGCTCAATGGGCTGTTTATATTTCCTATAAGATTCATCTAATATTTCACCTACATTAATAGCACACACACATTCGCACTGGTGCTCACATGTAAAACTCACACATTCATTCGCCATTAAAATTTGTTGCTGCGTTTTGCTCAATTTCTAACAAGATCTGCTTCCACTACATTCTCACAACCAACTCAGTCGCGGCGCTGCCCACAAATTGTCGTCGCATTTTTCGTATTTACATGTGTTTGCCCCCTGGGGCGCACTCGTGTGTTTTTGGCTTTTGTTTTATTTTTCGACATTGTTTTAATTCAATTATGCTAAAACGTTATTTGCAGTGCCAAAAAAAAGTTGACAAACACGAAAAAAACAAAGCGCATGTGTCTTTCATTTTCCAAAACTAAGTTGTAATTGTTTGTTCATTTTTTTAGCCTGAAAATCAGGTCTTATTATGCACCTTTTTGAAATGGTTCAAATCTAGCGGAAGTTGCATAAAGTGTGTTCCACTTTTGTTATGTATTAGTACAAAATAAGAATCTGCTTAGAAGTTTTAATTCAAAACGGTTTCTATATAAAACAGAATGGAATGGTATATTTTGCGTCCCAAATTTTGAAAGGAACTGTTTCCAATTGGACAATTTTATACCGGTATTCTGTTAAGTCATTTGTGCGTACAGTACATACGATAAAGGTAATCGGATAATATTTATGGATATAACTTAGTTTAGATTTCAGATTATGTAGGTTAATAAGAAAGTTAATAAGTTCCGCCGTAATATCTCTGAAACTGTGGGACGAGTAGTAATTGAAATAGACGACGGAAAAGCACCTATCGCGATTTAGATTCATTTGTGATGTATATACTTGTAATATATGATCTACCATAGTTAATTGGGTGTTGCAAAACTGCAACTATATTCCAGAATTTCTTATAATGCTTTTTGCAAACAAATCGATGTTTTTACAGCCCTATTATACATCTGTTCTCCAGCTTTTCCAATGTTGTTCAACAAAATTAAAATTTTAAGTTTTACCAATTGACGCTTTTGTACATAATTTGTCTTCAACCAAAAAACTGGTTTTAATTGATTGAGTGATTGGGCGCACGGAGACAGACATGCAAACACGTACACCTACAGATACAGATTTATATACAAACACACTTAAAAGTACACGTACATTCCGCCACCGATGCTACATGTATATGCCTTTTTACAGCACCTTGTCGAATTCGTTGATGCCAATTAACAAGTTCCAATTGACACATATGGCGGCAAAAGTGCGCTAAGACTATCTCCAACACACATCTAAATATATATAAATATATAGTCAGACAAGCCAAGCTAGTTAACATAAATGTGTCAAAAAGACAACATTTCTACAGATTCTCGAGATTCTTCATCTGACAAGGCCAAATTCGGCAATCAAATATTTGCGTTTCATTTTTAGATTCCTGAACTAATGTTTGCATTATAATTTGTTTCACAATCGCTTAACTATAATTTATGGTTTGACAACGGCAGCAATAGTAATAACAATAACAACAACGCCAACGATAACTAGCGTTTACTTATAATAATTCATATACAATTTGTGTATTGCTTTTTGTAACGTTTGAACGCAATCACAGCAAAACTTTTGACGTCGTCATCTTCACATTGAACGTGACTTTCAGTCGCTGCCACAGGCGTTGACATTTCCAATTGCTATATGCCGTTTTGCGCAAGCAGTTTTTGAAACGATACAAAAAAGCAACTTAAAATAGCAAATCAAATTTGTTGTTTATGCACGAAACTACCAGCTGTAATTTGCGACTTGCACCTTTCTACCAACTGAATTCATATATTTTATACCGGATTATAACAAAGTCTTAACAAAGGGTTACCCAAAGCTTAAAAATTTGATAATGTGCGTCCGTCAAATATAGACAAATATAGTACTTATACTTGTCTTATTCATAGTCAGAGCAACCTTATTACATACCATTACCATACATATTTGTAACTTTATTATTATATGCATATAGACCGATGCGTGAAAAAAACACGTTTAGAAGTTTTTTAATCGTAAAGTACATCATTACATTGTGATAAAACGAGTCGATCTCTAGACATGTCCATCTGTATGTATGATAGTGCTATAGAGGCTAAATATATTTATTCATTTGAAGAGTAAAGTATAAAGTGAAATGGGTCTTTGGAGCTTAAAAAGTCGGGACTAACCTAAATAACTGATCATTTAATGTCGATTCCATTTGTTATTTGTTAATAACCTTTTTACCTCACCTCGCGCAGAACATTAGATTTTATTCTGAAGTCGCCACAGGCAATTAGGTAGCAGACTGCTAAATGGCAGAAAGTCGTCTCAGTGCCTTCAATTTTTTTGAGGTGAACATTTTGGGCCATTTTACTCTGACGTCATGCGCAACATTTAATATGCAGCAGCAAAATTGTTTCTGAAGGAAATGCCAAACGCGGATTTTCAAAATATAATACACACACATCTGTACATAAATACTATTCATTATGTATTGTTGTGGTTTACCTAAGCTGCCACACATGGGCCGTATTTGCTGCAACATTATTGTAATTGCTTCAAGTGAAAGACATCTACTATAAAATGGCTGTTGGTTTTGTAGCAGCTGTTTTTATAAACGCCACACCGCCCTTCCTCAAGCGACCTGATTTGCGTCTGTTCACCTGTGCGTTGCTTGCTGCTGTTGCTATTGTTTTTCCTGTTGGTGCAGCATTGCGAGTGCAATATGAAAGCTGCCACAGAAGTTAAAGAGCGTGCTAAAAGTCAATTTTCCGTAAGCAAGCTGTCAGCTTCACCAAAAATCTTGCAAATGAACTCACATACATACTGTGGATGTATATGTTTGTGTAAGCTGCGGACTCGCCGCATCTTAAGTTGTTTTTTGTGCTCATTTACCCTGTATTTTTTGCAGACCTACTATAAGTAGTTAATGGCTGCATACACATATGCATATATATCACCATTGATGTTTGGCACACACCTGGCATAACTTTTTGCTGTTTAGTTCCAGCAAAAGCCGCGATAACAACGCAGCAACCGCTATATGCCCTCCCCGCTTGACCTAATGTTCGTTATTGTAGTTGATGCTGTTGTTGGTTTTGTTAATAATTCTATTTAGCTCAACCCTCATTTTTTTGCGCCTGCTGCTGTTGTTGTTGTGTACCTGTCAGTGCCCCCTATAAATTCCTTCAATTGGAGCAATAGCAACAATAACAACAGCGTGCCCATCCCCACCACCAATAGAGTTGCCATCATCTTCATTAT